GAAGAGCGTGTCATTTCTACCGTTGGCGAAAAAAAATCAATAAAAATAAATTTGATGATAGGAAAAAACTAAATGTTGTATTGAATAGAGCTCTATTGAATGTGTATGAAAAGACTATTTTTCCTACACTTCCCTGTGATATAGTGGAGATCCACAATATTATCACCTAAAAAGCTGTTTTACATGCATTGTGTCCATCATTTTTTAAAATCTTGTGCGAAATTTTTGTATTAACAAAGTTTATGAAACAAATCTCTTTGACTTTTCAAATTATTTTCTCTCAAGTACTCTTTGATAATCAATCGAACATTGTTCAAATGAAATTTCTCTAAATGAAATGCAAATGACTTTAATCTCGATCTGCACATACTTAGTAAAACTGAATTTTGTTCTGAACGGAGAAAGATTTTTGCTTGATTTTTGAGACATTACTCCATTCTTCGAGCTGAAAAAAGAGTCAAATTTTTGTAGGAAACAGTCCATCTTTCGTTAAGTTATAGTACTGACAAAATTTTAAAAAGTCGATCTACATTTAATGTGAATATCGTTTTCTTAATATTTTGTTCAATTTTTTTGTATTAACGAAGTTTATGAAACAAACATCTTTTATTTGCCAAATTATTTTCCCCTCCTCCCTCTTTCATATTCTATTAAATTTATCTTGAAATGGAATGCCAATGATTATAATCTCGGTCTAGACAAAAACGAAAAGTGTCTTAACATCTATTATTGATCGGTTTGCACTCATAAAACTCTTTCTAGAGCTAAAACTAAAGGCATATTCTGAAAGCTCTCGACGAGTTCTATGAGTTAAGCTACAAACAACACTTTAAAATACTCGCAATTTAATAAAAAAAAATTGATTTTCTTCCATCAGATAGCATAGGAAAGCTGAATATTTAACATCATTTCTATGATTTCACAAAAACTAAAACAGCTGGAATCTTGATTTTTTCAGAAGTGAATGACCATCTTTAGCCCAACAAATCAAAAAGAAATTACTAAAATCGATTGAACAGAACTCGATTTTTAAGGAATTCTTTTAGCAGGACCCAACAGTACAATTGGGGCGCTCTTCACTCACATGTATAAATACTCTGCATAAGAACAGAATATGTTAATTAGTGTCTTTTCTCACCATCATCATCACTTTCATATGTTATATCGTCAAAAAATAAGGATTACTCATAAAACGATACATATGAGAAAAATGCTATTGTATATTATATTTAATTATATAATGTGGTCATTTTATGTGAACTACTTCAACAAAATAAAAAAAAGAATAAATTTTGATAGGAAAAAATTCTTTATTTTTTAGATATAAAGATTTTCTTTATCTATATCCTTTATTATAAAGAAAATAAAAATACAGTAACATTCCTAATTATTTTCTCATACATAGTACTACTACTACTGTAATAAATTCTTCCTGATGTAACGAAGAAAAATGTCGATTTTGTGAATTTTCACTGATAAATCCTCTTACATTTGATATATATACCTTAAATTGAAAAATGAATTGTGAATGACATCGATTATATATACTATAGCTTAGAAGACAAGTTTAAACTGAAAAGTAATCAGTATAAATCACAAAAAAGCAAGATCAATATTTCGAAAAATATATTGAAAGTGTTTTTTAATAAAAAGAACATGTTGACTTATAATCAAAGACTAACCTTTGCAAAACAAAGTATGTGATACTGTGATGAAATAAAATTTATACATTAAAGGAAAGAGATAGTATATACTTTAAACATACTGGATTTTCTTGTTTTTGTTGTTGAAATACGTTTATCTATTGAGAATGATCAAGACTATACATGTTGATATGTATAATAGTAATAAATAGGAATACTTTGATTTAATATCTTTCTTGTTTTTGTAGAAAAAGATCTACTGTTTCTAAATTGATAAATAATTATATCTTTGATTAACCCTTTACCCCCCATGGAGGTTCCAGAAGACCCACTGATAAAATAACTTTATTAATACAGTACTACCCTCGCTAGTATGCAAATGGCATAATCTGATCCATCGAATGTTCTGCTCCAAGAGTAGGACGATTTGATTTATCCAGAAATCATGGGGTAGGGAAAGAAAATTGAACTACACTGTAAGAGTTGATTTTTATTCTTTGACCACAATATTGAGTGGACAGAAGGAACATCTATCTCGCGCTATTAGAATAATGGAAAAAAGACGAGAAATAAACCTATAAAAATGAACACCAAAGAATACATGCGTTTTTTAGATGTTTTTTCAAATTAAAGCCAATTTTATTCTTGGCCATTTAATAACCTCTCATCAAATTGAATTCATCATAAATAGAGTTTCGACTTCTCATGAGTCGAGGTATCTAATATATGTATTAACTGTGCTCTTGATTTCGCCCCATAGGTCAATTGGTGGTTACATGGTCAATCATATTTCTTTGTATGTCATATTCGCTGAGTTATCACTAAAATTTTGAAATATATTTTATTTATCAAAGAACTTCTTCATCAATTAATATCACATAGAAATTCCATGAGATCTCTATTAGCTGCGAGTAGAAAGTATTTTACTTAAAAATTTTCAATTTTTTTCATTTTTTCAAAATTTTCGATTTTTTAGACCCTTTATTTCAAAGACGGAGCAATCAAAAGGAACAGTCTTTCTACCAATGGATAGCCCATGAAGTTTACTACAAAAAAGGTGCTTAGCGTTTTTTAACCCGATGCTCCCTTTCTTTTCTGCAGTCGCTCTACAAATGGTCACTCCACTGACCAAGGGGGGTAAAGGGTTAAGAAAACTTTTTTCAGGTAGTTTCACAAAACTATAGGAACATAACTTATTTAAGTAGATGTGCACTAGGAATCTTGTGCTGCTTTGATTAGATGACATATGATTACTAAAAGAAAATGGGTTAATTTAGATCTCTTTTATTAAATATGAGAATCATATGATATATTTCACACAGGTAATATATAAGTCAGATTTATGATTCAGAATGAAAGACAGAAAATTGCACAATGATTGAGTCTTAAAATTAAGCAGTTGTTGCATGTTCTATCCTTCCTAAAGTGCATGCAAGGAACAAAAAGTGAGAGTTGGTGTGGGTGTGGGTGT